GCATTACTTTTTGCTACAAGACAGACGTTAGCATTAGAAGAATTTAAAGATAATACATACATATTCTTCTTTCGTTGACCCGTTAAAGCTGTCTTGCTATCCTTCGTGTTCACGATTTTGCATTCATCTTTGAAGAATTCTACTTTGTATCCTCTGTCACAAAATTGACTTGTGCTTAGGAGATTGAATTTCAGTCCTTCAACATAAGAGACATCTTGTATTGTTATTCCCTTTTTGATGATGTCCCCTTTTCCACGAGTTTTGCCGCTATTTTCTCCTCCAAAGATAACTTTGGGTCCATCAATTTCCTTAAAGTTGCTCAACATTGTTTTATCACCAGTCATATGTCTTGAGCATCCACTATCAATATACCATATGACCTGTTTTTCCTGCATCAAAGATTATGTGTTTTTAGGTACCCATTTAGTTTCGGGTCCTTGGGGGTTAGCAGTCAACTTTGGAACCCACATCAACCTAGAGTATCCACGACTCATCCTCGGTCCTTTATATCCATTAGATGTACGATAATCATAATGTATGCTGGCAAAGACTTTAGCATTATATTTCTTACGTTGATCTTCCTGAGGAAGATTTTCATAATGCTTGAGATGATTGGTTTGTTTACGCAGATGAATCTTTTCAAATACTGCTCTAGGGAGAGGTTCTGGGTAATCAAACCAATATTCTTTTGATGGCCCAGTCCATCCATTGCCATACCCGGATCTTTTGAAGGATCTTTCGGGTTGTCTGATTCGTCCGTTCAGACGATATTGCCTCTGGTTAACATTCGTCCTTTTATTGGATTGAGTGTTCCAGTTAGGCTGATCCTTTTTATGGTGTAGATTCTGTCTATTGCCATTTGGTCCATTCCTTTTGACATAGATTTGTCTAGGATTGCCATTACCAGATTTCTTCTTTCCAGATTCCACAATTCGTTGTACAGCGGTACCTTTCGGTTGACTTGTTGGTTGTGGTGTTTTGACATTGTTAACTACCATCATAGGCTCAGACACTTGGGTGGGTCCTTGAACAAATGCGGCCTCGAAGCTTTCGTGTGAATATGCATTCGTGGATTTGTTCAATTCGACTTGTGAAGAGGAGCTGGGGTTAAAACCAATTCCAGTTCTTTCTCCGGACAGTCTGGATTCATTCATCATTCTATCCATTAGGTTGGATGAATTATTGAATTTATCCAAAACTTCAAGCAGTTCTTGCTCTCTCTTCTCTTTTGCTGTGCATTGCTCCTTTAGAGCGAGAACATCTTTCTCAAGCTGCTCCCTAGCAATGACCAGCACATTGTTCTCAATACGAACTTGCTATAGTTCATTATAGCTAAGCATGAGCCGAGAGTTCTCCTCCTTGAGTTTGGAGTAAGTGCTATTTATCACATTGAACCTCCTCATCATTTCAGTGATAGATTCATTGGAGGTAAGACTTCTCACAGAACTTGACTCAGCTGAATAACAAAAAGATGAATGAGAGTTTACCTCGTCTTCATCTGCCATGAGGCACAGTTCGTCTGACTCTTGACTGAATAAGCACAACAGTCCTTTCTCTTCATCAGTGTTTTCATCTTCTGAGCTGGAGCTTGAGGAACTACTTTCGGTTGCGACTGTGTCAGAAGTTTTGTTTACTACCAATGCCTTCCTTCTTCCTTCCTTTCTGAAGTTTGATGTTTCAGGCTTGTCGCTCCTTTTATATCTTTCCCCAGTCTCTTTTGAGGCACTTGTGGTAGCATTGTCGTCTTGATGTTTGCTTACTATGGGATGAGGACAGTTCGCCTTGAAATGTCCTGGCTTTCGGCAATTATAGCACAATAGCTGAGAGTCCATGGTTTCAGTTTTTGAGGTTTGAGGAAAGTTCTCGTGCTTCTTTCGGTGGCTCGAACGTTGTGGGTCTTGAAAGTTGTTCTTTCTCATGAACCTTTTCATTTTCCTGACAAATAGTGCATATTGTTCCTCAGATAAAAAATCACAAGAGTTAGATTTCGACCTGTTGGATGTTGATACTGATTGATTTGCCACGAGAGCAATGTTTCTTGTTTCTGAATCTTCGGCATCTTTTGGTTCGTGTTCGAACTCATAGACTTTGAGATCACTGAAAATTTTGGCCGTGCTTGTTGTTTTCATATCTCGACTATCCCTCATTGCGATAACCTTCATTTCCCATGATTTTGGTAGACCACGAAGGATCTTTAGATTCATTTCCTTCTCAGTTAGTTCTTTTCCAAGGTATGATAAATCGCCCATCAGCGTGGTGAATCTGAGTTCCATATCCATGATTGATTCATTTGGCAGCATTTTGAAATCTTCAAATTTCTTCATTGCCATTGTCTGCTTGTTGTCCTTTTCTTTCTCATCTCTTTCTCCCAAACTCATTAGGACATTCCATACTTCCATGGCATTTTTGCACTTTCGGACCCTGGGAAACAAGGAATCATCCAGAGAGTTGTAGAGAATATTTCTTGCCACATTATCCAGATTTGCTCTTGTTTTTTCTTCCGTGGAATACTGGTCTTTTGGCTTTGGTATCATCTGTGGAGCTCCTGCTCCCTGTGCGGCTGCTTGAGCATTCGCCATCATGACTGTGATTGGTCCGGTTGTTATAACGTCCCACATTTCATCATGAATAGAGCATAGGAGAGCCTGCATTCTTAACTTCCAGTCATCAAATTTAGCAAGACTAAATGCAAGTTGTTTGGAGCGATGAGCATGTTCTTTTTCCATTTTTGAGTAAAAAGCGTGCAAAGAAAATATGCAAGATTTTCAAGAGATTTTTGAAGAGGGATCTACCAGGCAGTAAATGCAAAGCCTTTACCGATCAAGGTATTGGCTCTGATACCACTTGTTGGTCCCGATAGAATGCAAAGAGAGTCTAGAGGGGGGGGGGGGGGTGAACAGACTCTTTTTGTGAAAAGCCCTAAACGTCACCTTTCGGTGTTTTGGCGCAGCGGATAAGATAGATTAGTTTTAAATACTTTGCACGAGTTTGCGTAAACAGAAAATCTTTCGGTAAAGGTGATAGAAGGGATGATATGAATGCAGAAAAGAAAAGCGTAAGTAAAGAGATAGAAGGGATGCGAGATTTTATAGTGGTTCGGCTAACGTTGCCTACTCCACTCTTCTTCCACAACTGATGGAAGGATTGCACTATCACTCTTAGTACAATTACACAAAGACTTTCTTGATCACTAAGCCGGACAGCCTTCGTAGGTTTTCAACTCCTCGAGTTTACTCCGCCTCTATCAACTTCTTCTCCTGAGTTGAGGTTGGTAGAAAGTGATTTCTTGAGTTCTCCAACGATGAAGTCTTGGCTCTGAGATATGATGGCTTCAAACAAATGGCAAGACTTCCTTTGAGGTGTAAGAAAAAGAATCAACAATCTTCTTCAAGTAACTTAGCACCTCAATACTGGTTCACAAAAGCTTTTAATAAATTGTGAGCGTTTCAAGAGCTTTTGCAAGTAAGTAAGTCGAGTGACAATGAACTAGCACCTTCTTAGTTGATGAAGGTGGGTTTATATAGGTGATGAAAATTCATCCGTTGGAGGGAGATGAGATTTTCGAACCTTTTAACCATTGGACAAGGACCGGGGAGCTTCATGCATTAAATGCTCCATTAATGAGGTTGTACCATGTAGCCGTTGTAGGTATGGAAAGTATTAGGTTTTGTCCTCTATCTTCAGAAGATGGTACATCTTCATTTAATGCTCCTTGAAAAGTGTGTCCCCTAAGATGAGGTCCTTATTGTCCTAGGATGTTGTCAAATCAGACAGGTAGAACATTCTTCTCGTTGTTGAAGAGAAGTAATGTTTGATAAGGATCGTCTTTAACAAGGACTGTCTTTTCGTGCTAGTTGACAACTCCTGCTTAACTCTCGTTGTAAACCTTCATGTCTCGTGTCTTCTTTCGTCTTGGATGCCCTAACATTTAATCATAACTCATTTTCGTGTGTTTGTCTAGCTTAACACGAATTACAGAGGAGTTATGGCAACACTCGTCTAGGACGAAAGCAGCGATTGAAAAAGCTAATAGTTAGGGGTCTACTTTTCTACATTACATTGGTATCATCAAAATCCTAATACAATGTTCCTAACATTCTTAATTGTATTTCATCTATATTATAATTTTCACAATACGAATAATAACTAAGATAATTACATTTAGAAAGCAAATTTTAAATTTTGTATGAGTAAATTTAAAATAAATGTAATCCTTTGTTATGGGAGAGAAAAAAATAGCTATTTTATTTTTCAAATGTTGTACTTTTTTTTTTATAGTAAAGGATGTTGTGGTTATTTTATAATAATAATAAGGATAGAGATAATAATTGTAACAATAATTATTCACCAAAATAATAATTGTAACATTAATTACTTCCCAAACCATATAGCTTTATTATAGTTAAGACTACTATAGAGTATTAAAATTGTAATTTAAGAAATTTATTTATATTTCTAATTTGTACTCCGTATTATTTAAAATTTAATTTGTAATTTTGTGATTTTTTTTTATCTTTTTTATAATTATAGTGAGATTTATAATATAGATTGATTTGTGATTCATATCAAATTTTGAATCTATTTTTATTTGAGTAATTTACTAGTTATATTTAAAATATGTGCTATTTTGTGAACTTTATAATGAGTTATGTATATGTAATATATGTTGTGATTTAGTTATGAACAATATTTTAAAAAATATTTTAGTTTTTTTTTTTATTATGAATTATCTAGGTAATGTAGTTTAGAAGTCCTATTGTGTATCATCGTATTTGACAGGATAATAGGACTGGCACCCGACCCGGATCATAAGTGGGCATCTGACCCGGCGCCATATTTGACCCGGCACCACATGGAAATCCAACGGGCAAAACTCCAACCGACAGAATTCCAACAGGTGCCACCTTTACTGTCATTGAAGCCACCATTGATGAGAGTGAATTAAAGGCTTAGACTCCCCATTTATGTCCCATGTTGTTACCGTTAGGACTTTAGTATAAATGGGGCTCTCCTCAGCTAACAAAGGGAGGGTATTTTCTATACTGAGACTTTGTATAGAAATAGAATATTTTTTAAAATATAATAATAATATAGTAATGTCGAGGTTACTATATTATTATTATATTTTAAAATATATTCCGTTTCTATACAAAGTCTCTTTTATCTGCTTCGTCTTCATCTTCTTCGATCCGAAACCCCTCCAAAATTTCAAATTAATCAGGGGCCGATAGGACCGTTATGAAATCACCGCCTTAGCACTGCCTTAATTCCTCCCAAAATTTCAAATTAACCACTCTGCCGATAGGACCGTTACGAAATCGCCGCCTTAGCTCTGCCTTAATCCCTCCCAAAATTTCAAATTAACCACTCTGTCGATAAGACCGTTATGAAATCGCCGCCTTAGCTCTGCCTTAATCCCTCCCAAAATTTCAAATTAACCACTCTGTCGATAGGACCGTTATGAAATCGCCGCCTTAGCACTGCCTTAATCCCTACCAAAATTTCAAATTAATCACTCCGCCGATAGGACCGTTAATTCCTCCGGCACCCAACCCCTGAAATTCGAATCCTCTTTGCTCTGAAACACTACAGCTTTCCAAAACCGACTCACATAGTTTTTACTTTCATCGTCAAAGGTCTCAGTTCTGTCAGTAGAGCCTTCTTCCTCCTCTTCTTGCGCTTGCTTACAAGGTGCTTTATTTGGAAGCCTATCACGAAGTTTTCTCAGTTTGGCGGAAAGAATTGTCAATGGGGAAAGGGAAAGGCAAGGCCAAGATCGAAATTAAAAAGATCGAGTCTTTGTAGGCTCGAAATGTGTGTTTCACGAAGCGCCGCAAGAGGTTGTTCAAGAAAGCGGCGGAACTAGGTGTCCTCTTCCCCGAAGTTCGAATCGCTGCTGTTGTGTTCTCTCCTGCAGGAAACCTGTACGTTTTTTGTGATGTTTCGGAAATGGAGAAGCTCTTAGCCATGGATGAACCAAGTGCACTGTTAACTGAAGAAACAGAAAATGGAGAAGAAGAAAACGCTCATTCCTCTCCGGTCGTGGAAATTACTCTGCAGGAAATTACTGGGGACTTTGATGGATTGGATGAGGAAGGATTCATCAATCAATTTCTAAATTTTTGATTTTTGATTTTTGATTGACCAAATTAGCTGGGTTTATTTTTTGCATATGATCTGAATCGTGAATTAGCTAGGTTCATTTTTTGAATCTCATCTGATATTGACCTCTTCTTTGTATTTTTAATTTTTTTGAGCCAATGATCATTGGTTTGACAATTTTGAATGAAAATTTTGAATTTGGCAATAAATTTTGATATTACTATAAGTTTTGTTTTTGGACTTGCTGTAATGGCATAGAAGAATATAGTGATGAAAGATGAATGGCCTTATTGAGGAAGGTTTGTGGTGTATAGACAAACAACTAGGAGATAAATTATCTGACACCTAAACAGCATAGCTTCAGGTGATTTGACCAGCAAATTAAAGATTTTCCCATGATTAAGGTTGTCTGTCATTAATTAGTTATTCACTGAAGGTAAATTTAGATTAAGTTATATTGATCTAATAGTCAAATTGCGCTTGCTGGGGGTAGAAGCTAGCTTTGTAGTTCTTTTAGTTTGGGTTACTTGCTTGATTGGACCTGCAATTTGCTCGTCCGTGAACATTCTTACTTAGAATGTAGTCTTCTGGAGAAAAAGGGGGTCTCCCTAGACGGTTGGGCAGAATCCTGGCTTTGGAAGGGGTTCCCCACTTTGTCTTTGCTCCTAGGATTGATTCCATTTGACTGGTTCATCTTGTTTGGTGCTGTGATGCTTTTGGGCTGATCTGCTGATTGCAGATTGGAATCCTTGAGCACCAGGCATGCTCATGGAAGCTAAGGAGGCTGTTGCTGTGCACAGCTGAGGGAAAACCCAAAACCTGGGACCAGGAAGGCCTGATGCGTAGTATATTTGCAAACAAATAGTTCCCGGAGTATTCAGGTAGTCGAACCACAGGGAGATGGGGTACTAATCACTAATTACTCGCTTACTTATAAGAACTAGTTTGATCGAAACTTGATGGTTGATTGGTTGCATAAAATAACGAGCAAGAAATAAAACAAATATTAAGGTTTCGTAAACAATAGAGCAAAATGGGATTCTTGGGATCACAATGTTTAATCACCTAGTGCCAATCAACGTTTGTAATATTTGGTTTGGAATTAAGATCTGTGTGGGAATGCAAAGTGGAATCGAATTACTCGCGTAATCTCTATTCCTAGTGAATTTCCACTCCCGTGGCTTAAACACCCGATAAGATCGAAGATCAACATTCAATTATTCCTAATTACTACCATCTCCCGATGAGCAACAATCTAGAATTAACTTCCCCTAATAAATTCCCCTTTCCCAAGGTCTAACAATTAGGTGCAATCGTGTGTGCCCTAATTTATGCCCCAATTCTCATTGGTGACACAAATATGACTATGAAGCAAGTAATTTAGGCCTTTAATTACCAACAACAACAGGTTAAGACAAGACTGCAACACAAATCATAAAACCAAACATAAATATATTAAGAAATTAACGAACAAGGCACATAGGTTCATAAACAAATTCACCCAAAAATCCCTAAGGAATTTAGCCGCTCATGGCCATAATAACAGTAAATTCAATGCTTAAAGATAAACAAATAACAACGAGAATAAGAGTAAGAGTGAAAGAGTTCTCCCGAATCTTTCTAGCTAGTTCTCTATTCCAAAGCTAGTTGTAAATCTTCAAATTGGTCCTCTTTGTGCTTTGCTCTTGATTGCCTTCAAAACACCGAAATCGCAGAAGAAGGAGCCGCCCTAGGGTTGATAGAAGATGATCTTTTTATAGTAGAAACCTGATGGTATCAATTTAGGAGTCTTTCAAATTAACGTCTCTCCGCGATCTCGACGCGTCGAGCCTCCAAAATGTGCGATGTTTGAAGCTACTGGAATTTTTCGACGCGTTGAATTGCTGATGCTTCAACTTCTTCCTCTTTTGATCATTTCGTGCTTGAAATTCTTCCCTTGCTCTCACGCTCACCCTGTAATGGTGAAGAAAAACACTACCGAACACCGTAAGACATTCAAAACAAGTGTAAAAACATAATCTAACGAGAAAGCAAAGAAAACAAGTAATAAATGGACATGATTCAATAACTTTGTTTCTAAAATGAATCAGAAAAGCTATAAAAACATGCACCGATGTGATAACATCACCCCCTCACACTTAAGACTTTGCTTGTCCTCAAGCAAAACACTGAATCAAACCGCAGGTCAAAACACAAGGATCGCTCCCAATTTCTCGTGCACAACTTAGCAAACCACAAGCCAACTCACTGCAGGACACATGCTTCCAGAATCATCTCTGCTTGGCACCCGCGTTCTACTCCCAAGCCAACATACAAGCACCCAGATTGTTAGTAGTGAGAAATCTAGTGTGCACACGTACTCAGTTAGGTTTATGCAAAACACGACATCAGAAAAACATCCTAGGCTTGCCCTTCCTACTCCTCCTGAATAGAACTAACATTGCATGTAAAGATCAAATAGGTCTTTATTAAGCTTGTAATGGGGCTAAGGGTCACGGTTTATAGGAAACAAAAGGTAAGGAATGATAACAAAGGGAGAGAATGACACAATTATCTATAGCTTTAAATCTTTAGAATAAAAATACGAATGATGTACGAATGATGAATTAGGGAGCAAAAAGGCAACTTATCAAGACCATAATAGCTCTGAAAGATAAGGGGATTGATATAAGGATTTTACTCAATCAACATTGGATTTGAGTTTATTTGGGATGAAGAAAGACCATAATAGCTTTTTTTTTTTTTTTTTTTTTTTCAAATCATACTGCAAACTGAATGAGAAAAGAGTGGGTTTATTCAAGCAAGTAATAACCGAGTTGCTCTTAAGGTAAGCTCCAAAGAAGAATTCTCTTCTATAAGATTTATTTCTAAAGACAAAAGTTACATTCTCTCAAAGGGTGGAAGGATAATATTTGGCCAAGGGCTATAGGTTATAATATGGGGGTAATTCAAAGAAAAAAAATATAATCACGAAGAGGTAATAAATGCTTAGCACTTATTATAAAGAAAATAAAAGGCTCAAAGGGGACACAAAGGATAACACATACGTAGGGACAGGTTTATAGGCTATGAGCTACAGAGAATGGCCTAAATCATTTCAATATATGCGAAAATTAGACTAAACCTGAGGAGTAATGAGACAAGCTTTCGTAAGCCAACTAATTGTCGGAATTCCACATAAACTTTCACGAGCACACGCACTAACCACTAGATTAAGAAATTAGTCCGATTATGAGTGGGTGACAAGTATATTAACAAGGAAAATAAACCACTGAAGTGTTACACTTTGATTTCATCCATGGCATAATGAGATGCAACAAGTTCCACCAAAACAAACCACTACCCGACACGAGAGAGCGAGAGCAATTAAGTATCAAGACCAACAGTTTATTGGAAATAAAGGCACATGAGTCATTCAAGCAAGAATTCAAGTGAAGGGAACGAAATGGAATACGAGATCAGACTAAATAAAATTAAAGTGCAAAGACTAAGGAAAGGAAAGGAAATACTTCAATCCTTCCCCCTCATACTTAGAGAATCACATTGTCCCCAATGTAATAAATTAAGTGAAGGAAAAGGAGTTGGAGTATTGCCGTAGAACCTTCTACTGGTCGGTATCTGGAGGTGGTGGTGGTGGATAGTATCCCCGATAGAAGTCCGGGATGTACTGAGGATCTTGCAGCCAAGGCGGTGGTGGTGGAAAGTTCGGCTGGAAGCCGAGATGGGCCTGATTCTGCTGGTGTATGGAGGTGCCCATGAACCAGTTCACCTCATCAGTTCTGCGCATGAAATCCTGCCAATCATGAGGGAAGGCAGGTGCAGGTGCAGCCATCTGTGGGGCAATCGCATCATCGCCCCCTTCATCATCTTCATCGTCTTCCCCTTCCCCGAATTGCTGACCGGTCTTGTAGCGTTTCTCAAGGTAATGCTCAGATATGAAGGCTTGTGGAGCTAACTTGACCTCCTGGGATTCATCAATAGGAACCCCAGCCAGCTGGCAAAGATGCGTAATGAGGTAGGAGTGGCCGAGGTAGAATCGACCCTTCGCATCAGCAGCTTCGCGGATATTGCCGTTGATGATATGGCCAATGTCAATAGTCTTGCGTTGCCGGATGCAGTAGGTAAGGAGCACTAAGTCTTTTCGGACAGTCCCCTTGTGAGAATTTAGGACAAGCTTCGCTTTGATGAAGTCCAAGATTCCCCTGTCAGCAGTCTTAAAATACTTGTAGTCCATGTGGGATGCTACACCTCCCCTGATATTCCATTCGGCCTTCGGGTGGAAGAATTGTGCAATACGGTTCAGCCAATCTTGGTCCATGTGGCCACGACCCATATCTCGATTAAAGTAATCATCGCCCATGTAATTACGCGTACCGTAGTACTCATTAATGGCTTCCGCCGAGAAGTCGACCGGAACGCCCCGGACAATACAAACATTGGTTTCGAGGCCATCCTTTGCATTCGCATAGAATTCCCTCACCAGATTGGTAAATGCATCTCCTGGTTGAGCAAGGAATCGGGGTGCCCAATTCCACGCTTCCGGGACCACTATATGTGCGCCACGTTCTTTCAGAACGGGCCGGGCAGACATCAACTGATGGTACCGTTGAGCCGCTGCGTCTATTACAAAACGTTCATATTGTGCAGCATGTTGTGGTTGTTCCCGGACTTGCGAAGATTCGGCTCTTGGCCGTTTGGATGGTTGACGGGCTCTTGGTGCCATAGGAAAAACCTACAAAATTCAAAAATAAAACAAAACTTTCAAGTACTTGATCTAGAATTTATAGCCAAAATATCAAAAGTGAGTCTAAGGATTTCAAACTTTTCAATCGAGGGCACAAACTTCACTTGGGCATTTAATCAAACACCTTGTGGGCATGAACTTTAACACTAGGTTTGTGTAAAATTGACATATCAAATTCATCCCACAAGTTCACCACACAACAAAACAAGGGTACCCATCATCAGAAGCAAGGTCTACAATCATCATAGACTAAAATAAGGAATTAAAACTATCAAAACAA